ATTAACTCACAGACATCTACCCTTCCCCACCTCTAATATCATTAACTCACAGGCATTCACCTTCCTTCCCCCCTCCCCCCACATCCCCCTTCTGTTCTGAAATGTGATTTGTCCTTTTCATATGTGTTCATTTTTTAAAATTGTATCCTTTGGTTTATATGGTTGTGACTATTTTCTTCCACTATTTGATCTGAGGAAGTGGGTCTGGCCCATGAAAGCTCATCATCTAATAAACCATCTTGTTAGTCTTTAAAGTGCTACATAGTCCTGCATTTTCCTTCAGCTACACCAGACTAACACGGCTACATTTCTATTACTAAACTGAAAACAAAATTCTTAACTGTTCCGAGTCTCCATACTGTCACAATAAACATGTCCCTTCCTGCTGCAGATGGGTCAGGCCCCAGCATCTTACCCAATGAGTCCATCTTGTTCTCCTCAATGAGTCTATTGATTAATCCGTTGGCTCTCTCAATGGTGCAGACGGCAACATCCAATGCTGAGAAACGTCCAGCAGGGGAGGTGCTTCCCATATAGCCTTCTACCCGCACACCCACCTCCTGAAACAGAGTCTATGTGCCCAAAAAAAGACAGAGCATTTGTTCACAGGATTAGACACTTTAGCTGTGATCAGCATGTGCTGCACACTGGAATCAGTCCAGTACACATATCCTAAAACAGATTCCCAACACTATACAGATGAAAAGCATGGCTGATCCAGTTCATGCCTGCTGCTCCGATTCAACTGTGTGCTTCCTGTACACACAAGAGTAGTCCAAGCCACAGCAACCAAAAGGACCTTCTATTTGCACTCTACTGATTACTAGAAGAAACTTTGTACAAAATATGACATGGGAAGTATGATTTGAAAATTTATGTCTAATTTGTCAATAATATGATGAAATGAGTGTAGCTACATTATATGTAAAGTTGTAAATGCTCCTTGTATGACATTATTAGCACTTGTTCAAACCTATATAGTCTTGCTTACACAAGAGGCGTTAAACAAAACAGTCCTAATCAAAGAAATACATATAAATCGAAGTAAACATAAAAGTATTAAACAGGATCCTCAAGACAGCAGAGAGATTTGGCAGGAAACAGAACAATTTCTATTTTAGCAAATAAGTGAGTGAAGAAAGAACAGATATCAGGGCTACTCAAAACGTGGCCCATGGGCCACATGTGGCCAGCAGCCCATTTGTTTGCAGCCCACAGTGCAGTTTGGGTTTACGTGGAGCTGAACACACAGCCCACGGGCGGAAGCCAAAACAAAAATGTAGTCAATATAATGGTCTTCTGTTGATATGCATTTTAGTAGTTAAATTCGTGGACTGTCACTGCTCATTAAAACTGCTGTCATAAGAGTGGAAATTGGGTAAATATTGCATTTTAGTAAGAGTGGAAATTGGGTAAATATTGCGTTTTATTAATATCAGCAGAGCTGATTTAAATGGGGCCTGAGTGTTGTGTAATCTTGTCTTAATCTTTATATTCATGCCCATCAGTGTGAAAGAGGCGATTTGCATATATTTGCACATATATACAACCACACTTAAGTTGCAGCCCTCAGCACGTGCTGTGAGGTATCATTGTAGCCCCCAGGGCTTCCAAAGTTGAGTAGCCCTGGCATATATCTTCCTTCACTACTAGATTCCATGTAGGCTTCCTTACTGCTTGAATCAATGCTAGTTTGTAGAGTAACCTTCTGAAGAATCCACTTCAAAGGTTCACTGGCCTATAGAAGGGGCAGAGAATAGGGATGTTAGTGTGTAGTCAGTTACACAACTAACCGATAAGCCTGGGCTTATCAACTAATCATAATGACTGATACGGAGATAGCAAGGAAGAGGTTGCATACAGATACAGCAAGGAGGGAGCCTGTGCCCATGGGGAGCCAGCTTTTAAGCAGGCTTCCTGCACATGCTGGCTGTCCCCACACCACCTCTCCATGCATGCCGGCTTCTCTTCTCCTCCCCCCCGCCCCACCCACCCACCCACACAGGGAGGAGGAGGGAGCCAGTGCTCAGGGGGAGCCAACTTAAAAGCTGGCTCCGCACAAGCACTGGCTCCCACAGAGCTGCATGCCTCCCCACCCCGTGGGCAGCAGCACAGGCGGGGAGGGGGGCTGTAGGAAGCAGCTTTCAAGCGGGCTCCCCATGCATATCAGCTTCAGCGGTGCCATCTGCTCCCCACGCTGCTGATGCTTCTTTATCAGAGGCAGCAGGTGGGGAGAGGGAGGAAAGCAAGAGCTGGTGCTAGCAGGGAGCCAGCTCCCCCTGAGCACTGGCTTACACCTGCTCCCCCCCACACACACATGTAATCGTGTAACCACAAAAAAAAAATCCAGCAGTTACACATTTACACATATACACAACAGTTAACTTCCCTAGCAGAGAACCCCAAGTTCTCTTTTACATAAGACAAAAAAGGCACCAGGACCTTTGGAAAAGATCCTGGTCAAGGAAAGGGTCAGTCACCATTATAATGGAAGACTGTGTGTGAAAAAAGCCTTATCAAAGCCTTGAGCAACACTTGCTAGATTAAGTTTTAGACACACATATTTTTATTTCCTGATAACTATTTTATAACTTTATCTCCTACTTGAAATAAACTCCTGTCTTCTCTTGTTAATGAACTTGCTTTCTTTTTAATCTAAACCTACTCAATGCTGTGTTTTAACTGGAGTTACAAAACAGTCCAGCTCAAATAATCAGTTATTGAAAGTGACTGCATAGCAGAGTAATGAATCTTAATATCAGGACTGTACAGGGGAAAAAATGGACAGTACAGAACAAAGTTTTGGAAAAATCTAGGAATGGGAGTGTGTTGTGATCACCCTGCAAGTAGTACCCAAGGCCAGTGGAAGCCAAAGCATGGCTGGTATATTGCTGATATACTGCTGAAGCCCAAGGACTACAGCTATGCATATACATGTAGTGTGATATCTATACTAGGCTGGTTGCGAGCAGCCCAGGTGGGGAGCTACAGCAGTAAAATCTTGTGAAGTGTTCAGGGCAGGTAGTGGTACAATCCCATTACGACTTGGAATACACCTTAGAATGTGACAAGATTAGTGTAGGATGAAGCACACAAGCTGAACGCGGTGAGCAGCAACACACAGGAAGTTTGTTTCCGAATAAATCCAAACAAATATTCCAAAATGTTAAAGCATCTTGTTTTTGACATTTTTGGAATAAACATTGACATTTTTAAATGACCTTTTGTTATATGTACTATATGCACACATTGTATAAACAATGTAAACACATTTTATACACACACAAATAAAATACAACATAAAAGTAGAAATTGAAATGAATGTTTTGATCAGCCCCAAATTCCTTCACTTAGACTTTCAGCATTTCAGGTTTTGTTCTGATTTGGAACTAAATCAATTTCCAAAATCCCTCACAAAAACAGAATTGGTATCTGTAAAAGCTCTATTACTCCCATACACAACCCCCAAATTCATACAAACATTTCCACATTCAAGGTTCAAGTTTGGCAGCTTTGACTCATATCCTCACACTACTGTATGCCACTTACCTGCAAATAATACTTTTTCTCTTTGGCCACAGAAACAAAAGGGAGGATGAACAGAGCTTTCTTATGGGTCTCCAGGACTCTCTTCAAGATGAGTAACTCAGCAACTAATGTCTTTCCAGCACTAGTAGGAGCTAAAACAACATGATCCAAGAAAAGTATGTCAAAATTTAAACTACAAGAGGTTAAGAACTGAATTACTCCAGAAGTGGAAACTGCATACAAAGAGAAAAATGCAGAAGTGACTAAATGTCTAAATCACTTTTTAAATCAGGACTTAGGCATTTCAGAAAACTTCTCAGAGCCTTTCACTTTAAGGATGCTAGTCCATACCCAGCTCCTGGTTCACAATGATTGAAAGTCATTACCACTTTGGTGGCTATTCAGTCACCCAAGTAAAACCACCCAGCAGATCTCCACCCAGTTCCTAGATGACAGAAAGCCACATGAAAGAGTGCTGCCACAATTACCATCAATCAGCTCATTGTTACCATCTAAAAAATGTGGCAGACCCCTCCAGGATGAAGCAGCTCCCCCACTCACGTCACACTGCTCTGGCCAGGCCAGGCCTGTCCCATGGCAGACAGGGGCTGGGCTGGGCCTGCTCCAGGTGGGAGTTTTTCTGGCCAGACTGGAGACCATAATCACCAAGCATCACCCAGTAAAGGTGATGCTTACCAGTTAACCAATTACGTCCCTAGTGAATGGTTAACCAGAAGGGGATAGAGCAGCTCCCCACCTACTGCAGGCAAGGAGCTGCATCAGCCCACCACAGGCAGGGGTTGATGCCCTGACTGGACTCCCAACTGTAGGCAGGGGCTGCTTTGACCAGCCAGAACAGTCCTCGTCCAGGGTGGAGGGCTGCTCCAGCCCGCCCATGGCAGGTGAGGGGGCTCCAGCCTAGTGGGCCCTGCAACATTCTGGCTTCCACCCTGCCCACCTTCCACACACACCTCCCCTTTCATAGGTTAACAGTTAAACATAATGTTTAACTAATTAGCCAATTAAATGGGATTTTACATCCCTATCAGTCACATCCTTATGTAGGAGGAGTTCTTAAACAGACACACACGCACATAGGCAGGCTTAAAAACTCTCAAATACATAGTAGATTAATGAAGTTAGAGTGCATGAATCTGTCAGGTATCTGCATACCTGAATAAACCAGGTTCTTCCCCTCCAGGACTTGTCCAAGCATCAGGCACTCTGCTTGCCATTCAAACATATGCACTACTCCCAGACTGTGGTATTTCTCCAGAACTAGTTTGGGAAGACCCCAGCTTGCTAGGAGCAGTTTGTCTGCTTGGTCATCAGGAACATTCATCTGTTGGCATTGCCCTTTGGAGAAAAATTCTAGCAACAGCAGAGGCAACATAGTGAGTAATAGGATACTTAGGACTTGTTCACTAAACTTTCAGGCAGCACAGGGACTGACATGCTGAATCAGACTTGAGGCCCATTTTGTCAATGATCCTTCCTATCTCTGACAGTGCCTAAGACCAGCTGCTTCACAGGAATAACTTGCTCCCCCAGCCACCCAAGAAAGTATCCTCCCTAACCCACAATAGTTAAGAGATTGGATTATAGCCTGAAGTATGAAGGTTTATACCTCTTCCAAAAATATGTACTATTTTAACTCTGAATAATCTTGCCATCCATTTAAATGTCCAATCCTTCTTGCCATCCATTTAAATGTCCAATCCTTCTTGAATATTGCTAAAGCTCTTGGTCCCTCCAATCCATAGGCTAGTTGCACTTTGTATAAGTAGTATTTCCCATATTAGTTTTAGTTCACCATGTTTCAGTTTCTCTTAATATCTTTAAATTCTTGTATTTTGAGAAAGGGTCACAGGGGATTTACCTATTCTATACTGTTAATTATTTTTTATGCTTTTTAATCTTCCTTTCTATTTACTTTCTAAAATATTTTCAATCTCTCTTCTTAGGAAAGCTTTTCCATATCCCCGGGTCAGTTTTATTGCCCATCTCTGAACCCTCTGTAATCTGCTTTTTGACATGGGATGATTCAATATGAACAGAGGTTCCAGTTGAAGGTGATTAAGATACTGACAGCATTATAACATTACATTACATTTCTTATACATTCTAACACTGTTTTCTTTTTTGAGAGCAGCTACATATTGAGCAGAAATATTCACTGAGTTTTCCACAAGTCTCACCTAGGATTTTTCCTGACTTGTTATAGCTAATTCAGCACCCATATTAGCAGTCCTTCATCCCCTCAAGCTAGCACTGGTGAGAGGTTCTCTTCTCATCCCCAAAATATAAGACTGGTAGAGACACAACTTCAAAGAGCAACTTTCACCTTCAAAGATCCCACAGTACAGAAACTAAAATTAAAATTCTAAGGATGCAAAGGGGTCAGTCAAACCAGTACCCTCAAGAATGAAAGGCAGACGCACCACACAACAAAAGGAAGACTATCAAGGAGCAATTATGCTACATCTACAGAAAAATAAAAGACCCACATCAACAAGTCTCAGAGCCTGGACCAACTGACTTAGGCACACACTGCAGGGCAGGCACTGAAAAGATACAAATATTAATGTAGATGTTTGGGCTAAGAAGACTGGTGAGGGGGGGGGGAATGGTCTCGTAGCCTGGTCTCCAGCTCAGGCCTGAACATCTACACTAATTTTAGCCAGAGAGCACAAGCACTTGTCAGTTTAACTTTGGTCTGAGATTTGCTACATTTGTTTAAGTTTTTTTGGGTGTGAAAATATGCCCTCAGAAAGGAATATAGGAACACCTACTGGGATTTGGCCAGTATGACAGGATTAAAATCCCCTAAATTTTTTTAAAGGGGTTACATAGCAGGTTCTCAAACTTTACAGCATGAAAATCGGAATAGAGAAAATGTCTGTAAATAAAGCTAATACTGAAAAGTAGCCAACCTATGGGACCCACCAGGGGCCTTACAAGATGACATGGTACAGAACAGCTTGAAAGCCACTGTACTGAATGATCTTAAGCCCATTTAGGTGAATTGTGTTAGCACCCTCCTTCGCATTACAAAAAGGCTAGCTAGATGTCAAAATTATGTAGATAAAATTAGTGACTATAAGCAATGGTAAGACCTGGGTGTCAGGTTAATCTGAAAGACAGAACCTCCATCAACATCAGCTAGCACCAGGTGAACTCAGGAGAATCATTTATTGAATCATTTTGTAGTGTGAATCCCATTCAAACACTGATCTAACCCAACCCCACTTGCCGTGTGGGGTCCGTCAGAATTACATGGATCATAAGATAGTAAATGGCTGGAAGCAGGACCCAAAGGGTGTCAGTGTTCACAGAAGAGTTGTGAAAACAGAGGAAGGCAAAAGTAATCAACATTAAACTGAAAGTCACCCACACGGCTCTGTGCTCGAAGATATTAAGGAGCTGCAGTCAGGACCACGGGACATTTACTGCATCCAAATGAGCCACTTAGCTAATCTGCTCTACTTTCCTTCCTGAAGCACAACTACGAGCCTTGCTCGCTGCCCTAAGGGACGCAAAGGGCGATGCATTAACTGTGGTGCGCCGGCAGCACCTAGAGGCACCTGTGCGCACACGAGCGTCTCCTCCTCCCCAAGAGCGCACGAGCCACGTGCATTCGATCGCCCCCCCCCCGGCGGGCAGTCACGGGAAGGGGCGGGGACTCCCCTTTGCCCTGCCCCCGCCATACACTGAACCTCGGGCCCCGCAGCAGCTGGCGCCAAACAGCCCCGTCGTCCCACCGAAGAGCCTTCCCGGAGCCGGGGCTAGCGCAGCGCGGTCCGGTCTCGCTCCCCGGCTGCGGCAGGAGAAGGGGGCGCGCCGGGCGGTACCTGAGCAGCTCGGGCTGCCGCTGCGCCGCAGGGAGCGCTCCAGGCCGGGCGGGGGGCTCAGCACGGGCCGGGCGGGGCCCGCGGACCCGAATAGGACACAGTCCCCCAGGGAGCGGGCCCGGCCACCCCGCCTCGGCCTCCCGCCGCTACCGGCCGCCATCTTCCCGCCCCGCCATTCAAACCCCAGCGCCGGCCTAACGGAACTGGCGCGCGCGCTCAGCCAATCAGAGCGGAGTCTGGCGAGGCGCTCGCGGGGCAGGCGCAGCTCCCTAGCGCCCCCTGCTGGTGGCGGGCCGCGCCTCCCACCCCTGCCGGGCCGGCTGCAGAGTCCGGGGCTACAGAGAGCGCCGCCCCGAGAGCAGACCCTTGAAGGCTGCGTGCAGTGCGGATACGGCCTAGGTTCCCCGCCCACGGACCTGATGGGGCTAGGGCGCTCCCGGTGATCAGGTCACCCCTCCATAGAAGGGAGAATCAAAGCCCCCACCCCCAAGGATGCAGATTCCAAGCGTGGAAGGGCCACCGCAGTTCAGGAGTGTCATCTGTATCTACCAACACACTCGCGCGTAGACGGTGGCTGTGTCTAGACTGGCAAGTTTTTCCGCAAAATCATCTGTTTTTGTGGAAAAACGTGCCAGCTTGTCTACACCGGCCGCTTTAATTTCTGCAAAATACTAAGCTTTTCCAGAAATACTATGCTGCTCCCGTTCTGGCAAAAGTCTTTTTTCCTAAAGACTTTTGCGCAAAAGGGCCACTGTTGACAGCACAATACTGTTTTCCCGCAAAAAAGCCCCAATCGTGAAAACGGCGATCGGGGCTTTTTTGCGGAAAGCGCGTCTAGATTGGCCACGGACGCTTTTCCGCAAAAAGTGCTTTTGCAGAAAAGCATCCTGCCAATCTAGACATGTGAAAAGCATTTTTGGAAAATCATGCCAGTGTAAACGTAGCTGATGAGTGTTGCCAAAAGTAGCTGCCAACAGGCCTTACGGCCTTCGTAAATCCCATCTGAAGGGATATTCTGGAACATAGCCCTGATCTTGCTGTTTTATTGCATAAATGAGAGATGTGTGAGGGTGTAGCATTCCATCACACTTACATAACAAAGCCAACAAATTGGAATGTAATGGCACTGGAACTACACTGGTTCACTGGCCTGGCAAACATCACCCGTCAGGAGGTGCATGATTAAGGGTCAACCACTGGCATTGCATATCTTCCCCTTTTTATTGACAGCCCTGATCGCCTTATTTGGCAAACACTCCTTGCTCTTGGGATTTAGCAGTATGTCCCACCACTCTTGGTTATTTTTGTGGCACGTTCCTGCTCCTTGCCTGTGATTGATCATACAATTGTGATGTGCCCCTTTTGCTTCCACATACAATGCCATACCATCACTGCCCTTTGCCTTGTGTCTTATGGGCCTTACCTTCATACATACTAACATACACACGGGGGAAAGGATACAATTCGTGACCATTACAGAAGGCTCCTGCTTTGCAATGACCCTATTTACAACCCCCCGCACTTACGACCTTTTCTGTAAGTGCAGAAGGGGCCAAAAATCCCCCGACTTATGTCCTCGACCCTGTATTTACGACAGCATACGACACCTCTCATAAATGCGGATTCGAGTTACGGGTTGCTAGATGAGTGATAGAAATGTAGCCGTGTTAGTCTGGGGTAGTTGAAGCAAAATGCAGGACAATGTAGCACTTTAAAGACTAACAAGATGGTTTATTAGATGATGAGCTTTCGTGGGCCAGACCCACTTCCTCAGATCAAATAGTGGAAGAAAGTAGTCACAACCATATATACCAAAGGATACAATTAAAAAAAAGAACAAATATGAAAAGGACAAATCACATTGCAGAACAGAAGGAGGAGGCGGGGGGGTGGGAAGGGGGAGGAAGGAAGGTAAGTGTCTGTGAATTGATGATATTAGAGGTAGGGAGAGTGGGATGTTTGTGAGTTAATGGTATTACAGGTGATAATTGGGGAAACTGTCTTGATAATGGGTGAGAAAGTTCAAAGACTTGTTAAGTCCCTGGTGGTAAGTGTCGAATTTTAACATGAATGACAGTTCAGAGGATTCCCTTTCAAGTGCAGATGTAAAAGGTCTTTGTAGCAGAATGCAGGTGGCTAAGTCATTTAGAGAGTGTCCTTTCTGGTTAAAGTGGCAAGAAACTGTTTTCTCTTTGTGATCTTGTCTGATATCTGTTTTGTGGGCATTAATCCTTTGGCGAAGTGTCTGAGATGTTTGTCCAATGTACATAGCAGACGGACACTTTCGGCACATGATAGCGTAGATTATATTTCTGGATGCGCAGGAATATGTGTTCTTGATCTTATAACTCACTTGGTTAGGTCCAATAATGGTATCAGCAGAATGAATATGTGGACAAAGCTGGCAACGGGGTTTGTTGCAAGGGAAGGTACCAGGGTTGGTATTAGTGTGGTATGTCCTGTGGTGGTTGGTAAGAATCATCTTGAGGTTAGGTGGTTGTCTATAGGAGACTATGGGTCTGTCTCCCAGAGCCTCTTTGAGTATGGTATCCTGTTCCAATAATACCGAACACTTCTTCCGGTATTTTCGCTTCCTGGACAGGAAAAAAATCAGAAAATAGACATTTTAGGTGTCTGGTATTTTCTTTTTTTAACCAAACAGGAGGCAAAAATACTGGACTGTCCAGGTCAATACCAGGTGCCTGGCAACCCTAGTTAAAACACCCCTGACTTGCAATGCTATCTCCAGAACTGATCGTGTCACAAGTCAGGGGCAACCTGTACAATTGTGAGAAAACAAATGGTCACCCTATTCACCCTCCCAACAGTGCATTGGTAGATACTAACAAAACATGTAGATGGTAACATGAGCTTTCGTGGGCACAGTCCATTTCTTCAAAATGTGGTCATCTGAAGATGTAGGCGGTGCCTACGAAAGCTCCTGCTACCATCTACATATTCTGTTAGTCTTTAAAGTGCTACCATACTAGTTGTTGTTGGTTAAGTTTATCCTGTACGGACTAAATCGGCTACCCCCTGAAGCTTTTGGTAGATACTGATACAGTTACACTCCCTCAAAAGAGTATCACCCTATTTGAACTTTCAAAAAAGACAACTCTAGGATTGGGGCATTTGGAAATCAGACACAATGCACGTGGCAGTTTCAATGCTTTTTATTTTCACATCAGACAAGCATTAGCAAGGATCAGAAAATACTGCTTCTTGCAGTGGTAAGGCACCAGCATAACAGCTCAGGACCCAAACACTCCCTCTGGAGAAGACAGAGGAGAAGAAAATTTTGCAAAGGTGTCCCATTCTTCTTCTTCTTTTTTCTCCTCCCTTCGTCCCTGAAAAACGTAAGGTCCCATATTTTTAAATTTTGAGCACCCATCACTCATTGATTTTGGTCTCATTTGTGCACATTCAGCCATTCTGAAAATCAGGTTCCGGGACGGTTAAGCTGGGCCCAAGAAAATAACAGAAACTACACACCTGCAAAAGTGGTTTTAATTACTTCCACACTATCATACAAAAATTGGGATGCAGAATTGCACCCCAGTTCTTCTGCCTCTAAATTTCAGTAACAGCAAAGGTTACTACCATATTCACTGCACATCCAGCTTCTGCAAGATGCAAAGAACCTACAACCAACTAATTGAGTACACAACCCTGATTTATTTTTAGAGTGCTGTCCATTCTGTGTGTAAAGCTATAGTGTACTCATTTTCACATTTAAACAAAACTACTGCAGAGTTCGCATTCTGCTGCATTGACTTGCTTAGATAGATTACTGTGGTCCAAAGCAAGCAGCCACCTGTGAATAGGGAAAAGATGATCTGAGGCCATTTAGCATTTTAAAGGACAGATTGGCCCTACTTTTATAATTGAGTGATGGCCCTTGATCTTGATTTGGATCATTGCATGGCTCGTCGGTATTTGGCCTCTCTGACTGAAGAACTAAAATCATGCAAGTACTAGACACAGGTTATTTCTCCATTACTTTTGTTAACCAGCATGGACAAGGATTCAGTTTTCATGCTGTAGCAGGCTTTTCAGCATTTTTCATACCTCAGTGCTCAACAAATGTTATCTAGTTATTGCTTTCTCATCAGAAAACCATCATTAGATCTGGCAGTTATCTAAAGTAGTCATTCATCTCTTTGCATCCATCTTCTATTTCCTCTCATATTCCATCTGTAAATTCTTTAGAAGCAGGGACCACTTTCTGTTCTGTTGTATAATAGCTAGTACAACAGGTCCTGGACCACGCCTTGAACTTCTAGACACGGTAATAAAGAGAAAGACCAAAAACTTGATAGACAATCTCTAGCCCTAAATAAGGTGCAGGTCCAAAGCACATAAATTCAGTGCTCAGAAGCTTATACTGATACTTACCCTTTCTATGGATGACTAGATAGCTGTAGTTTCCAGGACTGACAAAATGGCACCTTTTAGGAGCACTCCATTACATTTGTTATCTAGCTAGAGACCTTTAACTTCTACATTTTGTAACTGGAAGACCCATTCTTTTAAAGTTTTTCCCTGCTCCATCCTACCTTATGCCTCTTATTGTGTTCTCCCTATTTAGCATCCCAGTTAGCATGTTGTTTCTTTTATTCTTTTATGTAAAATAAGGATTTTTATTAAGCTCCAAAAATAAACATGTATATCAACAGCAGACAGAACAGAAGCCATAATATGAGACAGGATAAACCATACTAATCACAGTCCAATACATACAGGAAACAAAGTTTGCTGTGAGTTTTGAAATATTACACAAGTGGGCAGGTAACACATAACCTCAGAACCCAATATCAGGAATAAACAACTGTGGAAAGGGGATGGAAAATGGAAGTATACTGGTAAAGCAGAATTATTTGCTAGTTTGGATTCAACAGATGCACAAAATGAGTAATTTACATGTAAAGGTCAACTTGCAGACCTTCCAACAAGTGCTTTCTTCAAAAAGGATATGGAAGCTATCTGCCTCTTTTCCATAAGCTACCTGGAGCATAGCTACCCTCCTGGGGCCACTGGCCACCTCAACTATAGGTGTGCAGTGCATAGCTCTCTGAATCCCTAGAGTCAGCACTATTCCTATGATTAAGTTCAAATCTGCTAAATTGTACTGAGTCTGTTTCTGCTAGTTTTCAAAGTAAGCTACACACAGAACAACTGGTCCCGAATCCCTCTCCCTTGAACTAACATTACCCTCTGATTTTTAATTACATTTCCAAAGGACCTTACTTTCTAAATTTACACTAAAAGCACCTTACAGGAGCTCATGACACATGGGCTTCTAGAAGCCCAAATATGATGCAGAGAGGGCCTTGGTTTCTATAGGACTTCATTTTTTCTTCAGTTTTAAGTAGCTCAGCTGTCCAAAAAGAACCTTTCAAATTCTTAAGTTTGATTAAACTGCAGTGAGCACAAAACATTGCTTCAGAATGTTCTCACTTATGACAGAAGCAGCTCTGGGCAAAATCAGTCTATAAACCAGAATCTGAGAACCACTGGGCTATACAATCAATAACCCACTTTAAGGGTTTAATACATATACTTCCTAATTAAACGATCCATTGCCTATTATCAATGATAAAATATTTAACCAATATGACATTGGTTGGTTAATAAAACAAGAAAAGATATCTAAAATTTTCTCAGAAGTATTATTCCTCATTGCTATGCAGGAGAAACATTGATCTTTCTTACTCAAAATTGAATCCATTAAGTCAAAGGCATAAATATTTTAGTGATAGAAATGTAGCCGTGTTTGTCCTGCATTTTGCTTCAACTACCCCAGACTATGTAGCACTTTAAAGACTAACAAGATGGTTTATTAGATGATGAGCTTTCGTGGGCCAGACCCACTTCCTCAGATCAAATAGTGGAAGAAAGTAGTCACAACCATATATACCAAAGGATACAATTAAAAAAATGAACAAATATGAAAAGGACAAATCACATTGCAGAACAGAAGGGGGATGCGGGGGGGAGGGGGGGGAAGGAAGGTAAGTGTCTGTGAATTGCTGATATTAAAGGTAGGGAGAGTGGGATGTGTGTGAGTTAATGGTATTACAGGTGATAATTGGGGAAACTGTCTTGGTAATGGGTGAGAAAGTTCAAATTCTTGTTAAGTCCTTGTTGGCAAGTGTCAAATTTTAACATGAATGACAGTTCAGAGGATTCCCTTTCAAGTGCAGATGTAAAAGGTCTTTGTAGCAGAATGCAGGTGGCTAAGTCATTTAGAGAGTGTCCTTTCTGGTTAAAGTGGCAAGAAAACAGTTTACCTTCCTTCCTCCTCCTCCTCCCCCCTCCCCCCCCCGCATCCTCCTTCTGTTCTGCAATGTGATTTGTCCTTTTCATATTTGTTCATTTTTTTTAATTGTATCCTTTGGTATATATGGTTGTGACTACTTTCTTCCACTATTTGATCTGAGGAAGTGGGTCTGGCCCACGAAAGCTCATCATCTAATAAACCATCTTGTTAGTCTTTAAAGTGCTACATTGTCCTGCATAAATATTTTAGTTTCTTCTATACAGATGTGTTTTCTTCATCTTTAACTTTTATGGTAAACAAAAACACAGTATTAATTTTACTTGCATTATATGAAACTTTCAGGGAGTCATGACTGTTCCAAGCAGTTTGTCAACATTTAGTGCATTCTTTTAAAAGATAATGGTCCAGGTCAGAGTGAAAGGAAATTGAATTAATGCAATCCCCTCAGTTGTGTTAAAATCTGATCTAAATAAAATAACTGAATACAAAAATTCAAAATGATTTTAGGATATCAAATCCAGTATCCTGTGTAACTGTTTTACTAGAGGTTCAAAGCTTAAGGACAAGACAAATAGTGTATCTTATTTCATTGGCCTGCTATAGTGCAAAAGACTTATGTACAATTTCTGCTGAATATTTTTAGAACTTTGATGAATGCACACACACTATTCAAAGTGATTCTAATTGCATGAGCAGGTGCATTTGCTGCAATACATCAATAATGTATCTTTCTCCTACTGTGGATTTCACTTGCAAGTCCCATACTAGTGTAATGCAAACAATGTCACAACTTATTTCCTGTCACTGAGCCACTTCAGATTCCTACACTAACAGATTCTGCCATTTCCAGAGAGTCATCAGCTATTCTGTCCTGTATTCTCCACATCTTGTGAAGAATCTCCGCATGGACAAGCTCATCCCTCGGGAGGCTGGATGGAGATATCAATGCTCATAATTCCTCCATCAGTCTTACGTGAAGACTAAGAGAAGACTGATGGAGAATCTCTACTGTATCCTCTTGGGGGAAACAGATTCCAAGTACAGCTCGAGCCAAAAAAAAAACCCCCAAAAAAACACACACACATCAATAGTACAGCTCCTACTAAAGAGGGCACAGGGCCCTGGATCAGCAGCTGGTAGCCCAAATTCTGTGAGTTCTATAGTTGAACTCTATCCCCATCCCACCTTCACTGGTCAACATCATAATGTATTTTCCTATCCATCTTTATATCCCCTATGAGGAGTTTTTCTGGTCCATGGAGTGAGGACAACCTCTAATTCTCGCTCTTCCTCATTAAAAACTTCATAGAAATTTAAGTTTAAAGTGAAGCCAAATCTTTCAGGAATTATTGTTTGAAAACACCACACTTGCATTCCAGCTAGGCAAGCTCCTGTGTCTGAGTATGGAATGCAGTGGGTATACAATACATATTCTAAAACAAAGTATGCCACAGTTAATTTTTCTTAACTTGTAAGTTGAATGAGCACCACATAATTTTTTCTTATTTAGCTCAAACTAAAACTCAAGATTAATGACCATCTCCAAAATTATCCAGCTCTCCTGTATTATTTTGTGCTTTTATGAGTGGTCATTTAAAGAACTGTCACCGGTTATCAAAAAGTTGTTCAGCTGAGGCCAAACACATAGGGAAGAAGATGGAGGTGGCGGCAAGTGCATGGTTCCAAAAGACAATACAGGGAACTAATCTGTAGGGGTAAGAGCTGGAAAAACCTTATATTCCTGCAATAATGATGTAAAAATTTTAACAGTGTAGTGAACATTAATTCTATTTAGAAAAGAGAACTGTATTTCCACTAAGTTAGATCAGAAAGACCAGAATCAGCTGTAATGTTGCCATATTAAACCAACTACTGAGCTAAAATAGCTTTCCATTTATCATGCAACATTGCAGTGTTTTTTCAGCACTGTTTCTCATACCTCTCATTATTACATACTTAGGATTCCTTGTATTTAAAAAAGGCTCTGTTTAAAAATAAATTGGATCTCATCTCTCAGTTTTGGTCAGTACTTTTTTTAAAACATTGCTATCTCTAAGTTTCTTTTAGACTATTAAAAAGAGGATTACATCAACAAAATCCAGAATTGATTTCTACTATACTCTGAAGAAGGCTAACTAGCAACCAGTCGAAAAATCTGATTTCGTAGGTAGGTGCACAGTTGATTCATTAAATCTCTGTTCTGTCCTTCAACCCAGTGCATCTCTGCTAATGCATCATCCCCTTCTTTCTTCACATTTATTAAACACTTAAAAAGAAAATGTCCAATGGTTCCTTTGGGACCTAGTTCTTTTAGATTGCCAACATCTTCTGAAGCATCAGGCTCCTCCTTTGCATCACTGGAGTCTTCACAAACTAATGTTTCTGCTTGTTTTGCTTCTATATCCTCCTCTTCCATGAGTTCCTCATTGTTTTGTTCTTTAACAGGAGAATCTTCCCTTTGCATGTCATTCTTGGCTGAGTTGACATCCTCATCAAGCATCACTGATCCCATTTCAGAATTTTCAGTCTTGTTTTGCTCATTCTCTGCAGGTTTTTTTGAGTCTTTCTGACTGTTCTTCTCCTCTTCCATTGCTTGCAGAATATCTTCAGAAGCTCGAGGAAGTTCTCGTAGTTGTCTTACTCTTTCTCGTTTCTTTCTTCTTAAATGAACCCAAGAGTTTTCAATGGCTGTTAAAAACAGACTAACTTCATCTTTTCCACAGGGAACATACTTATGCTGAACCTATTGTAGAGAATAGGAGAATCTCATAATCACGCTACTTTAAAAAATGTTTACATTTATGCCCCAAAGCATAAATGTTCATAAAAGCATCTTGTACTAAAATGTACCACTTAATATTGTACCTTCAGGTCAGTCAGTATTTTTTCTATCCACTTTGTAACCACTGCTATGCCTTCCACAACATCCCAACCCATAGCTGAAGCCTTGGTGGATAACTCTTTGATTGTGGATGCCAACACTATAAATGTAATTGGCTTCCGGGGCTTTTCTAACTTCCTTCTTTTAGAGGGAGGTGACTGAAAAAAAAAAAGCAACAAAACAAATTCAATTACAAACAAACATCAGAAATGCACAATACTAGTGGGCCAGTTTTAACACCCAGAACACAAACAGTCTGTAACATCCTGATGTCAATACAGTAGAACCCCCATTTTCCTCCCTAACTGGCTCTCCACATTTACCGAACAACCAGGACTCCAGGGCCAAAAGCAGGTGATCTCTCCTTGTGCCACTAGATGGCACTGCGGAACTACATTTTCCCATTCCTTGGTTTATCCAATTTTGATTATCGGATACCAATTAGACTAGAGCAGCGTTTCTCAACCTTTTTTTAATAAAGTACCCCTTTAAAATAATTTAAAAAAAGTACTCCTGAGCATGCACCCTCACTCCACTCTAACCCAATGCTTCCATCCCTGCCCCAGAGCCAGGCACCCCACTCTAACCCAATGCCCCTCCCCTCCCCTCCCCCAGAGCCAGGCACCAGACATATGGTAACCCTAACTTTGAAGTGTCCGCTCCCACCACCTGTCCCTGCCTTGGCAGCTTGTCTGCAGGCAGCAAGTGGCCAGCCAGCACCAGGCTTGCCACGTGGGGCTGTGTGCTTCCACCCCAGCCCAGGGCAGCGCCCAGGGGCAAATGCTCCCTGTCCCTCCCTCGCTACGCCACTGATGCGGGGGGGGGTCTTTTGGAGCAAAGCTTATCGTGCCACTTCACCACCTTTTAGTTCCTCTGCAGCACCACAGGGAAGGGACGATGGGGATGCACTGTACTGAGCTGCTGGCAGGAGGATGGGAGGGAAAGGGGAGAAATGTGCGTCTCCAGGTTCAACTGCCCTGCCCACTGAAGCACCCAGGGAGGCTGCCAGAGAGGAAACGAACTAGGAGAGGCGGCCGTGGCAGTGATTTATTTTCTCTCCGCCCAAACCCGCCCCCCCTCCAACTTGGAACTGCCCTGGGTCTCACTGGAGCTGCCACTGCTGCAGCCATGCGCTTTTCCCACCAGTGCTGGAGCATATGTGCAGAGTGGCTGTTAATGTCCGGGTGCACGGCTCCAAACATTCAATTTGACAGGCAAGCGCCGCCGCCCACCCCCCACCCTCCCCCGATCCCCTTTGCAGGGCAAAATCCCAGACATTTTTTGCCAAATTTCACTTGTGTTGATATATCCCCCAGACTCCTCTCGCGTACCCCTAAGGGTACACATACCACTGATTGAGAAACACTGGACTAGATAAATGGGGTTCTGCTGTAATGCCTTGTACATTTATATCATAGACTGTGTGTTACTTAAGCCCTCAAGAGGGTTTTAAGTAGGACTTAAGAGGTACATATGCTTTGTACTGGCCTGCTGCATGGACATTAGAAAGAATCAATTACGCATTCCTTCAACTGCCATTTCTGAAGAGATTATATAACTCTTGGTGCTACATTTGAAGCTACTAATGTTTTGATTCGGTCACACACAGGTGAACCACTGCATCTGTCTTGTAAAATGAGATATTGCCTGTGCAAGCACCTGTGCAAAAGTACATACATATGGATCTAAAAAAGAGAAGCAGATTTTGATTGAATATATTAACAAGCTTGATTCAGCTTATATACATGAATGTAAAGACCTGGCTATTTTCAATTGTTCAAAAGGGAGCAATTTTATTTAAGCACCGAAGTGGCCTAATTTTCTAGGCACCTGCAGCTCACAGTGAAGACCAAAGAAGACTTTGCTGACCTGAGTTCTTTCTATGGATAGGCTTGGCAGAATTAGATTTTTTTATAGATAAAAATTTGATACTGATATTTAATTTTCAAACTCTTACAATTTGTACCCATTTAAAAGCACGTAAAAATGGGCTGGAAATACTGGACCAACTGATGCCCTCATAATACATGGGGCTTTCTCCAAGCTGAAGCTCTGATGAATGTATTCATACAAAGAATCCATCTTGGATAAGGGAATTTGAAGGACTGGCCCTGTCCAAATCCACGATAAGATTAATTCTGACAAGCTTATTAGCATGTCTGTAGATCTTGCTTTTAATAAGATAAAAGCATTACACAGAAAACTTAGGAATTAAATCAGCTTGCATAGGAAATGCTGTTGTACCTTATAACTATAGCAACTGCACTGGTTAACTGTCTCTAAACAGAAAGCAAGCAGGATCTTATCAGGCAGTCTGTCTCTGCTAAGGATAACAGTGTAGGAAGGGAACTGTCCAGTATGGAATATCCCAGTTAAAAGGGAGAGAAATGCATTTCTCCATCCAGGAGTAGCAAAACTTGGGAAGTTGAAGGCCTGAGTGTGGGTGCCCTTGCTTAACGTTAGAGGGAGGAAAACAGCTACAGTTGCCCTGAACTGACAAATATATTTCAAAATATAAAAATAAATATCCTCTTAAATCAAACTATTTTTTCAAGCAGTATTTCTTACTTTGCTCATCCATAAATTTCCACCATCAAAATATTTTTTCTTCAGTTTGTGAATGTATGGTGAAATGGATGTTTATTGACATTTACTGCTAATCTAATTCTGCCAAGTCTATCTCTAAGTATGTTTGAGTTTAATACAAACATCAAGTGATATTAACAGCTAGACTTAAGGGCACTGCAAGGTGCTAACTGGTTATGCTGCCACACAAGAAATGCAGCGCTCACAATAATTTTGCTAATGTACTCTAGGCTGAAGAGGAATAGCTGTGTTGTAGAGGACATACTTGTTAAACCCACCCCCAAATAAAGCACAGAGGACCATGAAAAATAAACCAAAATACAGGCACTTACAGGCACTCTGACATCATCATAGAAACTCCATGCCAGTGCCCACCTCATGGTACGGCCTTGACAGAATTCAGTGTGGGTTACTTTAGGAACCTAAGTGAAAGAAAAACTTTCAAGTTAATGAAGTGTCATTCTGTTTTACACACTTATTACTGTAACTTCATATGTTACAAAATGAAGATTTTGAACCAACAATATGTAAGTGAAATAGCAACCATTTAACACCCCCAAAGAGCTTTACCAAGAATAAAATACGCAACTTAAATCCACCTTTCACCCTTAAAAATTAAATTCATTTTAGTCACCACAGTATGACAGAATGTGAACAGGGTAGGCTAGAAGGTCTCCAAATTCTAACTCCAGCTCTGCCTCCAACATTCCATATTACCTTTGGCGCACAAACCACTATGCTTCAGTTCTGAAAAATATATCAATAGCCCTCAGAGATAGCGGTGGTAGCACCCTCTTCCACTTTTCATCACAAGTGGCAAGAGGCTCCACCATCTGTTCCTCTGCAGGTGGCCTATAAAAGAACCCAGGCTTCCCTGGAGAAGGAGAAAGAATATGCCATGTATAAACATCTAGTCTTGCATTTAAGGAGATCAATGGGACAACATTCGATACGTGTTTCATGTCATGGGGCTGAGTGCTTGGAAATGATGAAGCAATAAACCTGGATTTTGAGACAGTGAAATAGCCACGTGTACAGCACGTGAGCATGAGCTCATGGAGGTGAAATATGAGGGATAGTTTTCTATCAAAAGTATTAAGAACAAGTATTAAGAGGGTGGAATTTGATTCAAGTTTGCTCATGAACTAGGGATGTAAAAGGTTAACCAGTAGGGGCTGGAACAGCATCCTATCTGCAGCAGTTCACAGGCTGGCTGTCTCCCCAGGAGCAGAGCTAGAAGCAGCCCTCGCCAGCCACTGCTCCCAGGGAGGCTTCGCTGCAGGCTCTACAGCGTAAAGCTTATTTAAGCTTTATTCTACATAGCCCACAACACAGATAATGGATATAATTTTTAGCGGTTAATGGCTAAAATTTTTAAACACATTTTTACATCCCTATTATGAACACAGTGAATTTACATTCCAGTAACACCCAGAGGTCAAAGAGGCAGAAGCAGAGCTGGCTAGTGACAGGGTCTGTCCCAAAAGGTTTACAGAGCAAAAGACACAAAACATAACGGGTGAATAAGAGAAGTGAGCAAAGGTAGAATTAATATAATGAAATAGCAAAATGAAAGAATATGAACAATTTTTAGCCAACGAGAGGCAGTAATCACAATCCGCCATTGTATGGTTGTCCTTTCCTGCAAATATTGCAGAAAAGGTGAGTTCTGAAGATATGAATTCTGATGGATTCTACCTGAGCACATTTCCCACTTCCCATAGAAGTGTTTATTAGAGTAGAGAACTGGGTTTTGGGAGTAAGCATCACTGTGAACCTCACTTTAAAATATAAAGGTCAGATAGGAAGGGCAGAGTTAGGCTGTGAAGCACTTTGAGAGTACCAATGAGAAGTGTGAGCCTGATACAGAAGAAAAGGGGAAGCCAGAGGAGGAACTAAACATAGGATGACAGGGCGATGAGCCAACATTATCTTAGCAGCAATCTGAACAGAACTGGGGGAAGTTACACTGCACACGTCAATGCCAGAGGAGAAGGAAATTGCAGTAGTCAAGGCATGAGAAGATTACAGCTTGGACATGAGTTTTGCCAGTTTGAGTACAAAGGACAGGAGAGGTTAGATTTGAAGATGTGCTGGGAAATGCATCATGATTTAGACACGCCTGGAAACATAGGTCACAGAGGACCAAGTCAAAAATGAAGCTAGGAGTATAACCTTGAGCTACAGAAGATGGTCATGCTGTTCACAGTGATACAAAAGCAGAAATGGAAAGGTTTTGAGGGAAGACCAGGAATTCCATTTGGTCATGTTATGTTTCAGTTGACGGCTGGACATCCACAAGCAGATGTAGAAAGATGGGCTGAGAACGTGGAAAAAGTGAGAGAGATATTTGCCAGTCACCAATATGGTATTCAGAACTGTATCTGTGCAAGAAATCATCCAGAGAAAAAAGTAAAAAAAAAAAAAAAAAGGGGGCCAAGGACAAAGTCCACAGAGGGCAAGATTATGAGAAGAGTAATATCAACAGAGTCTGAGGCAGACAATAAGTCAAGGAGACAGTGGATCACTGGCCCTGAAATTTGACCAGGAAGTCATTAGAGACTTTCATTCAAGTTATTTCTTGAATGAAAGGCATGACAGAGTGAAATAATGGAGTTTTCAGGGCCCTATTTTAAATGCACTGCATCTTTGCAGTCAAAAGCAGCCTTCAAAAGCCCATATATTTAAAAAAAAATTCCAAGTCTTTTAAAGGATTTATTAGTGTTCAGTGGAAGTCAAGTATTCCATCATTCTCCATTTATCTCCCCTCGCCCCAAACACACACATTTAAATTATAAAAAAAAAAAAAATCTATCCTGGGAAAAGAAGCCTCCAGAAACATTTTTTAAACGAGTGACTACTGCTACCTACTCTTTGCTAACACTCACTTTTTTGTATTCTTTGTATTGAACTTTGCTAATGTTCACTTTTTTCATTGTATTCTTTTGATATATATATATGGTCATGCCAATTCTCTTCCAGAATATGATCTGAGGAAGTGAGTCTGGCCCACGAAAGTTCATCACCTATTAAATCATCTTGTTAGTCTTTAAAGTGCTACATAGCTTTTCCTTTTGTTTTTGCAAGATCAGACTAACATGGCTTCCTCTCTATTATTATTTGATAATCCTGTACTACTCCCTGTTTGGGAAGATTCTATTCCTGCCCACCATCCCCAAGCCTTTGTGTTAAGGCGAAGTGACTGCCCCTGAATATATACAGCAGTATTCAGACTCTTCTGCTTTAAGGGAACCCACTGACACTTCTATTCACAGCCTTGTAAGACACCTGATACCTCAGACCACAGGAGACAATTCACTGTTCTTTTGGTCTACAGATCCAGTAGCTTACCAATGAGGACTCTTGATAAATGCACAATACTATACTAAATTAAATTAGAACCCAAATATTTGTAGTATAGAAATTAATCGAGAAAAAGGAGCTCTTGTAAAGTCTCAAAACTTGCAGAATACTGTGCCTTCTCATATTGACGAGGCACTGTACTCTCAAGCTGAATCCCTGTTTTAAGTTCAAAACTCTACTTATACTCAAGTTTGGAGTTGCTAGCAGTGCCTTCATAATACAAAAGCATCTTCCAAAGAACTATAGTTTAGTTACTTGTAAGAAACCTTTAGGTAACACAAACTACACAGTATATACAACTATAGTGTATCTGGAGAAAAAACTTACCCCTTGGATTCGAAGTTCTTCTTTTAATGGAGCTAAACTGCATTTCTTGCCCAGCATGCAGCTGTACCACCTATGAACGACATATGACATTAATCAGAGGGTCAGTCTGAATTTGAATAAACAACTGCAGCAAGGGAGGTTTAGGTTGGACATTAGGAAAAAGTTCCTAACTGTCAGGGTGGTTAAACACTGGAATAAATTGCCTAGGAAGGTTGTGGAATCTCCATCTCTGGAGATGTTTAAGAGTAAGTTAGATAAATGTCTATCAGGGATGGTCTAGACAGTACTGGGTCCTGCCACGAGGGCAGGGGACTGGACTCAATGACCTCTCAAGGTACCTTCCAGTCCTAGTATTCTATGAAGTCCTGTGGCACCTTATAGACTAACATTTATTGGAGCTGAAGCAAAATGCAGGACAATGTAGCACTTTAAAGACTAACAAGATGGTTTATTAGATGATGAGCTTTCGTGGGCCAGACCCACTTCCTCAGATCAAATAGTGGAAGAAAGTAGTCACAACCATATATACCAAAGGATACAATTAAAAAAAATGAACAAATATGAAAAGGACAAATCACATTGCAGAACAGAAGGAGGAGGCGGGGGGGTGGGAAGGGGGAGGAAGGAAGGTAAGTGTCTGTGAATTGCTGATATTAAAGGTAGGGAGAGTGGGATGTTTGTGAGTTAATGGTATTACAGGTGATAATTGGGGAAACTGTCTTGATAATGGGTGAGAAAGTTCAAAGACTTGTTAAGTCCCTGGTGGTAAGTGTCGAATTTTAACATGAATGACAGTTCAGAGGATTCCCTTTCAAGTGCAGATGTAAAAGGTCTTTGTAGCAGAATGCAGGTGGCTAAGTCATTTAGAGAGTGTCCTTTCTGGTTAAAGTGGCAAGAAACTGTTTTCTCTTTGTGATCTTGTCTGATATCTGTTTTGTGGGCATTAATCCTTTGGCGAAGTGTCTGAGATGTTTGTCCAATGTACATAGCAGACGGACACTTTCGGCACATGATAGCATAGATTATATTTCTGGATGCGCAGGAATATGTGTTCTTGATCTTATAACTCACTTGGTTAGGTCCAATAATGGTATCAGCAGAATGAATATGTGGACAAAGCTGGCAACGGGGTTTGTTGCAAGGGAAGGTACCAGGGTTGGTATTAGTGTGGTATGTCCTGTGGTGGTTGGTAAGAATCATCTTGAGGTTAGGTGGTTGTCTATAGGAGACTATGGGTCTGTCTCCCAGAGCCTCTTTGAGTATGGTATCCTGTTCCAATATAGGCTGTAGTTTATTGATAATGTGTTGGACAGGTTTAAGTTGGGGGTTGTAGGTGATGACAAGTGGTGTTCTATTGTTGGTTTTCTTGGGTCTGTCTTGAAGTAGATGGTTTCTAGGTATTCGTCTGGCTCTTTCAATTTGCTTTTTTATTTCTACCACATCCTCCCTGAATGAATTGACCTAGTTATCTCTGGCCTTCCTCTTGATCAGTACTCCTTTCTTTTCCTGTGCCAGTATATTTATACCTGCCTCTGGAATTTCCAATGCATGATTCTGACGAAGTGGGTCTTTGTCCACAAAAACTTATGTTCCAATAAATCTGTTAGTCTATAAGGTGCCACGGGACTTCTCGTTGTTTATTTTACTATTAAAGCTTATTAGAAACAGTTCAATTGAAAATGGCTACTAGCTGCAAAGGGTTCACACCAGAGGTCTACAACCATCACAGGAGGGAAAATACTCTTCAGTTGAAATAGTAGCAAGCCCATATTAGCCATATTATTTGAGCAAGGGTAACTAAGGAAAGAAATCCTTAGTAAAGAAATCTACCTGCATTTTTCAAAATTAGATTTTGGGTAAAATTTTTAAAAAGTATCTAAGCAACTCTGTCCTATTTTCAAAAATGACAAAGTGCTTTGGAAAAAGGGTACCTGTCACACCCCCTTGCTTTATGAAAATTGGCTTATGAATATGTGTAACTCTAAGATGCCTTAGACCATGGGTTCCCAAACTAGGGTGTGTGAAGAAATTCTGGGAGAGGGAGGGGCACAAGGTGACCCAGCTCCCTCCCCGCCCCCGTCAATCCCTCCTCCCCAAGTTTTTCTGATATTTGTGTTTTTCGGCCCCGGTCAGTTCCTTTTTTTTTTTTGCTCAACAAGTTTTGCTGCTATTTGGGGGGGGGAGATGCAGGAGGGTCTCTCAAAAAGGGGGCATGATGCCAAAAATTTTGGGAACCGCTGCCTTAGATACAATACATCATGAAACATACCATTTTTAACATTTTGGGAACCGCTGCCTTAGACACAATACATCATGAAACATACCATTTTTAAAGTTACAGTCTACTGTGCATGGATCATTCTTGTATGTGAAGTTAGGACTATGAAATGTAAAACTTTTATTAATCCAAATCTTCTAGTAAAAGCCATAGTGGCACTTAAGGAAACTTAATAGCCTGATGGTCAAGATAAAGATCTGTAAATAGATTTGTTTTTCCTGTATGCTCAAACTGTGGTTGACCCTACAAAGACGTGACCATGCCACCTGGTGCTGGAATCCCATCTTGAATCTGGTATTTTTCCATGAAGATGGGGAGATGAAAAAGAATTCTGGCCATGAACAAAGTCTGCTTAAATGATGGAAAGCAATCCATCTTATCTTTAGCTGGCTTTTGAAATTGCCTCCCCATCCAAAGAGAAAACATATGAAGAAACCTGAAAACAAAGAACTCTAAAAGACACAAAGATCTGGAGACCCAGACCAATGGAAAAAAAACAAGTCTGTCTTGTAGCATTTTACCTAAAATAAGGGCAAGGTAAGGAATATACTTTGAAACAATTTCTTAGTGTATAAGGCCTAACTGGCATGGTTTTTTACATTTTGGATTAGTAACTTATTTGAATCTGTCTGTTTTCACTTGCAATCACTTAAATCCTAATTTTTATGCTTAATAAAAACACTTTTGTTTATTATGAGGTCCAGTGTCAATAACTGTTACCTGGGGGGAGCAACCAGTGTGTATCTCTCTCTGACACATAGAGGGCATGCTTATAAGTTGTCTCAATGTAAAACTTTTATACAGAGCAAGACAGATTTAATTTGGGATTTAGTCAATGGCTCCATAGCTGAGCCTTCCCAGAGCTAAACTGATTCAGTGTCTCTATTGCTCTCCTAGAGGACTGGTTATCACAACTCTGTGCCTTGGCTGGGGGAAACCAAAGCTTCTTACCCAGCAATGCAGGATGGAGTGCTCACTAGAGGGCAGGTAGATAGATTCAGTGGCATGATCAGCACACTGGGTGAAAGTCCGCAGCGAATCTCTGTAATCCAACCCATCACACTTATACTTTATAATACATTTTTTTCAACCTTTCAATGTTAACTTTTCAAAGAATGAAGAGAAATGACAGTAGCAAAATAAGAGCCTGTGCCAGACAAAAACCGGCCCACTCCCTAGTAGCTCTACTTATGAGAAATTTAGATAAATTAATTCTCTCAGTTTTCAACCCTCTAAATCCATATCACATCAGTGGATAAACAGAAGGATGTGGGGCGAGAGAGATTATCCTGCTTCTCGGAATGTACCAACTTCTTTATATCCAGATCGCACAGACTCTTCCAAAAGCAAAAGTCTGTGTCCTTTAGCAGAATTTCCCAAAGTTCCTTTACGAGCACGTCCACAAAACTATTTTAAAAAAGAAATGTTAGGGCCCAATGGAATAATTTATAAGTACAGGCAGTCCCCGGGTTATGTACAAGATAGGGACTGTAGGTTTGTTCTTAAGTTGAATCTGTATGTAAGTCAGAACTGGTGTCCAGATTCAGCGGCTGAAACTGGATGCCAGTTCCGACTTACATACAGATTCAACTTAAGAACAAACCTACAGTCCCTATCTTGTACATAACCCGGGGACTGCCTGTACTTATAAATTATTCCATTGGGCCCTAACATTTCTTTTTTAAAATAGTTTTGTGGACGTGCTCGTAAAGGAACTTTGGGAAATTCTGCTAAAGGACACAGACTTTTGCTTTTGGAAGAGTCTGTGCGATCTGGATATAAAGAAGTTGGTACATTCCGAGAAGCAGGATAATCTCTCTCGCCCCACATCCTTCTGTTTATCCACTGATGTGATATGGATTTAGAGGGTTGAAAACTGAGAGAATTAATTTATCTAAATTTCTCATAAGTAGAGCTACTAGGGAGTGGGCCGGTTTTTGTCTGGCACAGGCTCTTATTTTGCTACTGTCATTTCTCTTCATTCTTTGAAAAGTTAACATTGAAAGGTTGAAAAAAATGTATTATAAAGTATAAGTGTGATGGGTTGGATTACAGAGATTCGCTGCGGACTTTCACCCAGTGTGCTGATCATGCCACTGAATCTATCTACCTGCCCTCTAGTGAGCACTCCATCCTGCATTGCTGGGTAAGAAGCTTTGGTTTCCCCCAGCCAAGGCACAGAGTTGCGATAACCAGTCCCCTAGGAGAGCAACAGAGACACTGAATCAGTTTAGCTCTGGGAAGGCTCAGCTATGGAGCCATTGACTAAATCCCAAATTAAATCTGTCTTGCTCTGTATAAAAGTTTTACATTGAGACAACTTATAAGCATGCCCTCTATGTGTCAGAGAAAACTTTGCACCCCAACAGTTTTCAATTACAGTACTGAAATGCAGTACCTCCTACATATTTTAAAAGCAGCTTCTTTGAGAGATAAAATGCTTTAAACTGATCATGTGTAAGTATAAGAGAGAAATTAAACCAGTATTCATGCTGTATTGTGAAGAATTTAATAATTTTGTTTTCAATTGAAATCTGGCTTAATAGATTTTATAAGACCAAATGACACAATTTACGATCATCCAGTCTCCCCCATAACAGGACAGAGAATTCCACCCAGTAATTCTTGCATTAAGCCCAATAACTTCTGGCTGATCTACAGAACATCTTCAAATCAAGAATGAATAGCTGTCTCAATATGTCTACATTTTGAAGTATCTACCTTAGTGCTTAGTAGGTTATTCCACTGGTTCATTACCCTATTGAGAAACATGAAAGGGTGTGAGGCTCCCAACTCCCAGATGGCTTATGTGCGCCATGTTAGCATGCAGCAGGAGGCACACCCAGAGCCACTGACGGGGGGCAAAAGGGAAGCAGCCCTGGACACTTTAAAAATCACTACCAGAGCCCCAGGCAACACTAATGGGATGGCTGGGAAAGCCTATCCTCCAGCCCCAACTCTCCTTTCTGAGGCCCCAACCTCTCCGGGGGCCCAAAGATGCCCCCCACCCTGCCCCGAGGCACAGCACTTCTGTTGGCAGCCTCCAGAATACCATGGGATGTGAAATTCTCCTTGCCATGGTGTCCTGAAATCAAGACTGAGTCTCTTTTAAAAAATGTTCTACTTAACCAGGGAGGTGAACATGTACCCATGAACACAGTTAATCAATAAGCTTGGGCTCATTGGTTAACTCTCATGGTTACACACAGCCCCTGCACTGCTGTATCAGGATGGGGAGGAGGCGGCAGGAGCCAATGCACCTCGAGAGTCAGCTTTTAAGCCAGCCTCCCACAGAAGCAGCAGTGAGGGGGCACAGGGGCAAGTTCTCACTGAGCCAGTTGCCTCCCCTCACACACACTACTACCTCTAATACATAGGCAGCAGCGGGGGGAGGGTGCGACTCCCATGGAGCCACCTCCCCTCTCCTTCAACTGCCTCTGCTATAGAGGTAGTAATGGGGAAGGTGAGGCAGAAAGCAGGAGCCAATGTGCATGGGGAGCCAGCTTAATAGCTAGTTCTCCATAAGCACCAGCTCCCATAGAGCCACCTGCCCCCTCCCGTGTGTAAATGTGTACATTTTTCGGTGGTTACATGTTCATAAAAATAAATGTACTTTAATATCCCTAACTTTAACTGCAAGTTACTGAACTAACCACAAAAATCACTCAGTGAAGTTCTTTGGCCTGTGTTATGCAAAACATCAGACTAGAACAGTCTCTTCCGCCCTTAAGATCTACAAATCTGAAAGGGAGAGCAACTGTCCTCTGTTTGCTTTTATGTAAAAACTGCGTTTCTTGGACGTCGAAGAGCTTACTAATGTGTCTCAAATGAGCCAGTCGACTTCACTGACCTATAGCTTTAAAAAAAAAGAAAGATAATTGTCATACAAGTTGACTTTCCATCCAAAACAAAAATGTCCTCAGTTAAAGTCCCTTCAACAGAATTTCCACGGCAGAGGGAGGGCGGGAGGGAAAGTTTTCTTAACTCTTCCAGTCCTTACCGCAATCTTTTTTTAAGCTGCAGACTATCATGGATGATTCTTTTGACAAATTCTAGTTCTCCCCCTTCAGCCATGATCTCTGTGATCCCCCCAGTGTTCACAGAGCTAGGAGGAGGTCGTCGAGGATTTCGAGAATTCACTCCCTGAACAAGAAAGAAAGTCTGAGGTTTAAACCATTAATAAACTGACTCCTTTACACTCTGCCAGTTAGTAACACTATCAGCAATGCACACTTTCCCCACTGCAGAAATGCTAACTTTTCAAACTTAACGTAACTTATTACTCCCTGTCTATATCCATCTACTGTGTCTGGATTTTATAAGCTCTGTGGGGCAGAAATAATCTTTTTGTTCTGTGTTTGTAGGGAACTCATCAGAGTGGAGTCCTGGCCCATGACTTGAGCTCCTTGGCTGCACAGTAATACAGAAAACAGAGCAAAATCTATAGTCTCAGCTACAAAAGAAAGTTAACAATATATTGATGCTTTATAACAGTTAGGGATGTTAAGAAGCATGTAATTCATTAATTGTGTGCTCAACATAAATTGTGTTGACTACACAATTAATCAGTAAGGTTTAGCACTGCTAATGCTCAGTCCCAGCTTATACCAGCTCCCAGCAACTACCCCCACTATGGCTCTGCACTATAGGCACTTGTACTGCCGAGGCACAGTGGGGGCTGATGCCAGGTCCCAGCACAAGCCAGGACTGAGCCAGCCTGCCCGCATGTCAACTCTTAGTGCTAACCTGGCAACTTCCCCCACTGTGGCTCTACAGTACAAACACTAAGAGCTGATGCAAGGGCAGGGTGACTCAGTCCCAGCTCACGCCGATACCCAGGATCAATGCCCACATTGACTCTTAGTGCTTGTAGTTCAGAGCTGCAGCGGGGCAGTTGCCAGGTCCCAGAGTGAGCCGGGGCTGAGCCGGTCTGTCAGCCAGCCTGCTAAAAAAAATATACTTGCAAAAGCGGGAGGGGCTGTTGCACATAGTCAATAGTGTTAACCGATAAGCACCTGCTTGCTGGTTAATCGTTTAGTGGATTACACTATTACATCCCTAATGATAGTAGCATTAAACATCGGATTCCAAAGCACCTTAGCACACAAGTCATGTCAGAAAGTTACAATCCAATGTTCAAATGTAAAGTTACATAACTTACACACTTCCCTGTGTTTCTAAAACCTGAAGCTGTCACTATCGAGGCTAAGAGTCTAAGTTTCTTATTGGTGTAGAGTCGGGGCTTCTCTAACTGGCACACTGGTGACGGATACTTAATGGGTCTGGTAAAGATGTGATTAGTGGGAGAGTACTCTCCCATCAAATTTCAGTACAGTACTCCATTTACTCAAGAGACAGAAGAGAAGTCAGTGGTGGGAGAGTGTTTGCCACTGACACAGTGCCATGTAGACACTGCAGTAGGTTGATGTAAGTCAGTGGTCCCCAACGCGGTGCCCGCAGGTGCCATGGCGCCCGCCGGGCCATTTATGTGCGCCCGCAGAGCAATCTGGGCTGGCCTCGCTCCCAGGCGTGCGGCAGGTGCCAGCCCCGGGCGCATGGGAGGCCCCTACCCGGGGGTCACGGCGTGTGCCGGCCCCGGGCGGCCCCTGCCAGGGTCACAGCACATGCTGGTGCTGGCCCCGGGCGTGCAGTGCATGCTTGACCCCGCCCCAGGCACGTGGCCCGTGAGCAGCCCCGCCCCCAGGCGCCCGGCAACCCCAAAACGTTAGGGACCACTGATGTAAGTTATTTTGCTCGGGGGAGTGATTTAACATCCTGGAGCAAAGTAACTTATGTACTGCTGCTTAAGTTAATATATCAGGCCTCAGACTGGTGCCACAACGGCAAAGCCAAACGACATGACATTACTATCAACAGTAAAGCTCACCAGTCCCTCATTTGTTCTATTACAACAGGAAGCTCAACAGCACCAGGTCCACGGTGATTGCCTCATCTGTGCCAAATCTATTGGTGACAATTTGAGTACAACCAATGAAAGAATGGTATAGTTCAATTCCCACTTCAGAAAAAAAACTCATTTAAGTTAATCAGATTGTTGACCTAAGTGGGTTTTGCCATGTTGCTTTTTAAAAAAAAAATTTTTTTTAAGCTATGCATATATGAAATGACAACTTCTAAAACCCAGACACAAGGTTTTTCACATAGAGCCTTCAAACACTTGAATCTTTTCAGGTATCATTACCCTCCCCACCTTCTAAAAATCAGCAAAAAGTACTATTCAATCTATCTAATCAGCACACTGTACCTTGGCTTCCAATTGGTTGGCAAAAAAGGGAGGGTTGCACATGCAAAAGTCGTAAATGATTTCAGATTCCTCTTTTAGAGCATCCATTAGAAGGGTCTTCTGTGGTACTTTAACCACTAGCAGAAAAAGGAGGATGTTTATTGGTAAGGACCTAAATTAACTGTAGTGTTACATAAAGTACTTTAACACTTCCTTTAGGATATAATTAACATATTATACAACCAAATATACCAAAATACCACAATGCAAACACATATTAGGTTAATCTAATGAAAGAAAAGGCATATACACAGCTTTTCTTATAGCTAGTATAGAATTAGAGTTTCTTTCAGAGATAGCAGCTGCTCCATAGTTACAGTTGCAACTGAGTTTCCATTATAAATCTGATTTTGGTTCCTCAAATAGCCAATTCTTAAACTGATATTCTAGGTCTGAAGCAGAGAGAACTGTTCTATTAAAATTTGAATTAAACTGTGCGGTGTTCCAGAATTATCACACCCTAAAAATAGATCTTCACAGCTCAGAGTTTTCATTTTCTACCAGTTTATTTTTAAAAAGGGGAAGGAAGGATAATTAGCCTAGTTTACCAAATTTCCCTAGGTGAGGTATAGTGAACAGAACCAAATTTTAGTTGAAGTCTAATAAAATGTATTAACTTTTGAATATGAAATACTGCTACTGCAGTCAAGTGTGGGGTCAACAGGAGGAGGCTAGGTATCAGTGTCTGCTCTCCCAAGCATTATGCACCATGCAGACCTAGCACCCCACAAGGCTGAAGCAATTCACAGACGCCCATACACAATCCCACTCACATCTTAATAGCTTTATTAACCCACTGTCATATTTCTGCTTGCAGTCTGACAAGCCTAAAGAAAGCAAGGAATGTAGGGACAGGGAGGTGAGCCCTCAAGGAACCTCTTACACCCATACGCAGGTTTGTAGGCTCTGATAGCTATCTTAAAATTGATGGCTCATGAGTCCTCTTCCTAATAGTGAGTTCTCTTCCTAATACTCACAACTCAACATCTAAGGCTTACAGAGTAGAAGCTGAATCTAACATTTGAGAAACTGTGGAGAGAAAAAGGATAGTGTCTCCACTTCTGCAACCCGCTCCAGAGGGACGAAGAAAGAGGAGAAATCTTGTATTTCCATTGGTATACTACTAGTGTGAGCATTTTCTTCTCATTTCATCTACTTCTTGAAGATCTTCAGGAGGAAAGGCCCAGTCTAGAAGACATTAGAAGGTCGATTTGAAAAGGGAACTACACTCCCACCTCTGGAGCATAGGTGGTGCATATAGCTTAATCCCAAGAACCTATAAAGATTTGCAGGAATAGAATTCCCTCTTTCTGGCCTTAGCAGATTGGAAGCATAGGGACTTCCCTTCCACAGGTCAGGGAGTGAGACTAACTACCAGAATATCTGTGTCCAGGAAAGCTAGAAGGTATTCCACACTCTCTCTCTCTCTCTCTCTCCAGTTCTTAGGCCAATAAAAAGAGAAATCCACATACAGGAACATGGAGCTTGAATGTATATTATTCTACAAGAAAGTCACTTAGGAAAAATATCAGATTAGAACCAGCAATTTTAGAGTTAAGGCTGCTCTTCTTAAAACCCTAGCATTTTAAGTGTTATGAGTTGTCTGATGAGTAGGGTTTTTGTGCATATATGGATGTAGTACTGTTCAAAACAAATTACTGTGAGTGTTACAGCAACCTGAAGGAAAAGTATTTGCATGTTTAACAAGCATAGAAATCTTCATCACATACATAATATTTTACTACACTACATAGTGATGCAATAAAAAGTTGACACGGTATTAATGCCATAGGACTATTTTATGGCAAAGCACCAATAAGACTCAGATGAGAACTTTGCAAGAAATATTAGCTAATATAGTAATATATGACTATTCAATACAATGCCACATAATGAGAATCAAATGCTCTGACAAAAATCACCAATAATGAAGTACTGTGGCTGGCAGCCATACTAAATGCAGAAATCATGCTAATGCAAAGGCAAATTACTTGGGTCAGTCATGTCATACCTGCAGATAACAGTCGACTGCTCAAGAGAGTGCTGTGCAGTGAATCTGAAAAAAGCAGCAGGAAGGGATGACCATCCCAAACTCCACTACAAGGATTGCATCAAGTAACATATACTTTCTGCTGACCAGGACTTCATGACCTGTGAGGATATGGCCAATGACAGGCATGCTTGGCACTGCTACGAACAAAATAGAACATGCAACAGAATATCACCAGACCAACTTGGCCACCAACAGGAGTGAATGTAGATATCTACTTTCCTTGACATGTTTCCTGAACCCTTTATGTAGAAACTAATTTCCCGTCATTGCCACTTGAATACAAGTATGACTGTCATCATTATTTATATTATAGATTTTAATGCTAGAAAGAAGATGCACTTTTGGGAAATATGACATTCCCAGAGAAAATAGATGCTCCGGAAGTAACTGTCATTCATCAAGAGTGACTGTTTGGCTGGGATGCAATGTAGGAAACAAGGAAAACCAAGCACATTATCTTAGTAAAGTAAAATGTCAAGCAGGGAGGACAAACCATCTGAAAGCTATAATTTAGGGGGGCTGTTTTTAAACTTCTACAACTAAAACTATTAAGAACTACTAAAAGAGTTAAGGGGACACTGCTGAAGTAAAGTTCAGTGTGAACAACAGCTAAGACTCCATTTCACACCAACACAATTGAGAAGGAACTCCCACACAGTTCTAAACAACAGCAGGGAGCCCGAGTATCATGCATGCACAAGCCAAAGAGATAATGCTATGAGAAAACTCCAGTCAAAGGCGGGGGGGGGAAGGGGTGGAAGCAGAAAGAAGTTGCACATTAGAGAAATATGGAACACCGCAAGACACTCCTCAAAGAACAAAGAGTTATTTACACAAGATCCCTTAAAGTATAACCCCTCATCAAAACTAAGTAGCTGGCAAAGAATTGTACTGTATTCAAATGAGTAACACTGCAAACAGTTACATGATGTTATCCAGGTTGATAGTTACTTTAGGGGCATTCATATCTTAGCGAAAGCTACCAGCAGAGTGACTGGCATAGCTGTTCTAGCTGACTCTTGCAAGAGGCAGGAACAGAGAACGCAAGCCCTGCAGATCAACAGTTGCTGGAGGGATCCCTTTCAGCCAGTATCTGACTGCATGCCCCACAGCAGTGTTTCTCAACCTTTTTTTTTTAAATAAAGTACCCCATTTAAAAAAAATTACAAGTACTCCCAGTACCTACAGTTTTCAGACACACAAACATTTTTTCTACCTTTGCAACACATTTGTTTAAACAACTTAATCGTAGCCAGGCAGATGATGAAATTGTGTGTGTAAAAAAAGTACAAAAATAATGAAGAGCTGTAAAACATACAACAAAAATTCAGTTTTCTCCAAATTTCAGTTGTGTTAACGTACCCACCAGACTTCTCTTTAGTAACCCTAAGGGTATTCATACCACTGGTTGAGAAACACTGCCCCACAGATCCTACAACCACTGAACTGTGTCCCTTTTCCCAGCCTATGGATAACCTTGTTACTTCCCTTAGCTGATAAGACAGGCTTTAGCACTTTTATTCATCACCTTAGGGACCCTTCCAGGCCAGAATAACTTCTGGTGGGATGGTCCATCGCTACACCATTCAGAGTATAGCCACAACTGTGGCAGTAGCAAAGCTCTGACACTTCTATTGTTCTCTGCACTGAAGTATGGATCTGGAGCCTCCAAGAATAAGAGAACAGGTGAAGAACAAAAGAAAAATAGGGAAAATTACCATCAAAACTAACTGGTCAACGGTCTTTCCCCAGAGCTACTCACTGTACAACACTGCAAGATTAAGGCCAAGACATATTTTCCAGGGTCATATAAGGAGAGCAATTCAAGTGCTAAGATTTTTTAGCTATCAAGTCCCTTGAGGCGATTAACCTCGAGGATACCTATTAACCCTTCAGTCATGACTGATGACTAGAAGTTTCTCTATGAACAAGGCAGAAGAGGTGGATAAGACTTTTTTTTAAAACTAACAAAATCATCCAAAGCACAGGATTTGGTGGTGATGGGGGACCTCAACTATCCAGACATATGTTGGGAAACTAACACAACAGGGCACAGATTATCCAATAAGTTCATGGACTGCATTGGAGACTTTTTTTATTTCAGAAGGTTGAGAAATAGGGGAGGAAGATGTTCTAGATTTGATTTTAACACAGAGGAGGAGGAACTGGTTGAAAATTTGAAAGTGGAAGGCAAGTTGGGTGAAAGTGATCATGAAATCATAGAGTTCACAATTCTAAGAAACGGTAGAAGGGAGAACAGCAAAAGAGAGACAATGGAATTCCAGAAACCCAGATTTTAGTCAACTCAGCGAGCTGATAGGTAAAGTACCATAGAAAACAAGACTAAAAGGAAAAACAACTGAAGACAGTTGGCAGTTTTTCAAAGGGACATTATTAGGGGTCCAAAAGCAAACTATTCTACTGCATGGGAAAGATCGAAAGTATGGCAAGAGACCACCTTGGCTTAACCAGGAGATCTTATATGATCTAAAAATAAAAAAGGAGTCATATAAAAAAGTGGAAAATAGGTCAAGTTATATTCATTCTTTGTAAGCAAATAAGACAAGTAATTAGGGGCAAGATTAGAAAGGCAAAAGGCACAAAATGAGCTCAATCTAGCTAGAGACATAAAAGGTAACAAGAAGATATTCTACAAATATATTAGGAGAAAGAGGAAGACCAAGGACCGGGATAGTTCCATTCCTCAGTGAAGATAAAACAACAGGAAACTTGGAAACGGCAGAGGTGCTTAATGACTTCTTTGTTTCAGCTTTCGTCAAGAAATTTGATGGTGACGGGATGCCTAATAATGAATGCTAGTGGAAATGGGGTAGGTTTCAATGTTAAAATAAAAGTAATACACAAGTTAAAAATTACTTAGAAAAGTTAAATGTCTTCAAGTCACCAGGGCCTGATGAAATGCACCCTAGAATACTCAGGGAGCTGATAGAGAAGGTATCTGAGCCTTTACCTATCATCTCTGAAAAGTCATGGAAGTCAGGAGAGATTCCAGAAGCCTAGAAGAGAGCAAATATAGTGCCTGTCTATTAAAAGGTAAATAAGAACAACCCAGGAAACAACAACAGACCAGTCAGTTTAACTTCTGTGCCAGGGAAGATAATGGAGCAAGTAATTAAGGAATTCATCGGCAAACATCTAGCACATAATAAGGTGGTAGGTAACAGCCAGCATGGATTTATATACAGTAAACTTCCGATAATCCGGCACCTTTAGGACCCAGGGGGTGCCGGATTATCAGATATGTCGGACTATCGGAAGGGAGGGGCTATGAGAGGTCTGGGGTGGGGCGGATGCCACCCCAGACCCCTCATAGCCCCCCCTTCCGATAGTCCGGCTCTGCCCCCAGCGTCCCTGATTCAGCCACTGCTGGTCAGTTTCAGCAGTGGCTGAATCGGGGACGCCTGCAGCAGAGCAGTTGGAGTGCTGCCAGGTTGGTCCAGTACGCCGACCCTTGGCACGGTGAGACCAACCCGGCAGCACCCCAGCTGCTCTTGGGGACGCCTGGGGCAGAGCAGCTG